ATTACTGATCATTGTAGCCTGCAGAATATAAATATTGTATCCAGCGGTAATGCAAGGAACCTACAGGCCCAAACCCCTTAAGACTCAGCTTGAGCACTTAGCATGAGGCTTTAGACCTACAAACCTTAGCATAAGTAAGTTAACCAGTAAAAACACTGAGCTATAGGGGAACCTAAGATAAGATTTTTGCTTGGTTTACAGTTGCAATTTTGCTAATAGTGCATGAAATAACTAACAGGTATTTTAAGTATTTTGGGATAAGAACATCTGCAAACATATAATTGCAGGATTGTTATGGCAACAAATTTACATATATGACAATGGACTTGGGATAATTAATATGCTAACCTATAGGCTACAGACACCCCAATATTATCAGGGTGAGGAATTTAGTTTTGGATAGAGGAGTAGAATATTTGCATGCATATTCACGGCAGCCACCGGACCCTATAAATAGGCCCAACCACCACAGAAGCTAGAGAGCTCTCAGGACCTTGACCATCAGATTAGCTTAGCATGCCGGAGATCAGATAGGACCCAGCCTTCCCACCTCTAGGTCTCCATGAGAATTGTGAGAGTACGCATATGGGCTGATGTGGGATATCAGCCTCATTTGCACTATAGTTACATTCTCATTTGGTTTGGAACATTTGTATTTTTACTGATTGTATTAATAAAATTATTAAAATCTTAGCTCTGCTCCGAGCGTGTGTGTCACTGTTTTGCATGGTCCCCAACAAGAAACTGAATTTGAAATTGAACTTAATCTTTCTGTTGTGCTTGACCCTGGGGCGGGAACCTGGCAAACCTCAAGAAGTTGAATTGTTTTGTCAATTGGGAGTGTAACTGGAAACTCTAAAGGAAAATCGATATAATCAATATCCACTCAACAAATCAGGCAACACCATGAGGTGTGTTTTCTCCCCTACAGAGCCTAGCACTAATAGATGGAGACCCTCAAGTGACTCCATTCCTTTCTCCTTAAGAGAACCAAGAGGGTAGTCCTAGACAATTATTCATTTCCCTCAAGGGCTCTCCCATGCAGAGACAGAGAGAGTTCCATTCTGTCCCCTCTCCTGTTCAATGATCATTTGGGCTTTTAGGAGGTTAGAAATACCAGCTGTGCTGTCTATAGTATGCAGATGACATCCAACTTAATATTTCTCTCTCTTCTAGCACAGTCAACACAGCTGAATGACTTGTTTCATGTCTAACAGAGATTGGGGTGTTGATGAGGATTAGTTGATTGAGGTTCAACCCAGAAAAGTCAAAGGTGATGCTTATAAGGTGCAGGATGCAATCTGAAGAAATAGCAAAGATATCAGCATCCCAGTTGAGAGAGTAAGCCTGCCATTTCTTATGCAGGCTTACAAACTAGAGATCTAGTTGGAGTTCAGAAGCTGATGGATGTTACAAGTTTCAGCACTTAACCAAAAAGCAACTTATCGTGTGTGCTTGGCAAAAAGGTTGTAACATTTTCTTTCAGATACAGATCTCATCAAGGTCATCCAAGCTTTTGTCATATCAAGACTGGATTGCATTACTGTAATACACTCTAAATGGGGTGACATATCTTAAGACCATTCTAAAATTTCAGAATACATCTGCCTGGCCATTTGGCCATGTTTATCATAGGCAGAACGTTACATCTGTTCTGTGTGATTAGCACTGATATCAAATGATTTCTGACTGAGGTTTAATGCATTCATTTTTAGAGCTGCTGCAAAAAAGGTTTGAAATTTGAAATGTTCTGACAAAAAAATTATCCTTTTTTCATTATTTTCGTGAAAAATACGTCATTTCTCTACCAGCTACAGAGCTCGTCAAAAAAACTGAGTTTTGGAATTTTTCAATGAAAAAGGCCATTGTTTGCAAAAATAATTCCCATGTTCTGAGTTTTAACCTATAAAACTTTAAATGGTGATGCCTTGCTCTCCCTATAGCCTGATTCTTTATGTGGTTCTATGCCAGTACAACAATAAAGGCTAGTAATGATTACATGAATGGGACCTACTGATTGGGCATTCTCAGTAAGGATTCATCACCCCTGGAAAGTACTTCCCCTTTGGTCTGCCAAGGCCTGGATTTAATGACTGCCAGAGCTTGCATCAAGACTTATATTGGGCATTTGTTTTCCAAAGATTTGAAGGTGGAGTGGTGGGTATTGAATGGGGTTTTGAAGTTGAGGGTTGACAGACCCTATTTGATAGCACTGAACCAATTTTGTTTCTTTTTTATTTTTTGTAAAATGGTACAGGTCAAAGATCTATATAAATAGGTTCATTACAAATTATAATGCACACATCTTCATGAATGAAACACAGAATACACCAACAGGTCATTACTTCTTCCAAAATAGTCAGATACAACAGTCAATGTAGATCTTTAGGTCTATGTAATATAACATAACATATTATCAGATGGAGAAAAGAGAGAGAAGATGGGAAAATAAACAGGGAGAAAGAGGAAAGGGAGAAGTATACTGCCTTCCTCCTTTTTTAGTGAACATTCTAGTTCATATGCTTTATCTTCCACATGATTTTTGGTTGAACTACTCTTATAAAGTTTCAATTTTGTACCTGTGCTTTAGGAGTGTTAATAAATGCATTTAAAAATCCAAACAAAATTATCCATACTAAATTAAATAATTCTTCTTACTAAATAAAGAATGGGCACATATTCACATTATGATGTCCCATACTAAGTTTTTAATGTATTATTATGTAAGAAGCTTATGTGATTTAGAAAGCTGTGGTTCTGAAAGAAAATTTTAAAATTTAGAAGGAAATAAATTAAAAAATTAAACTAGTTTATGAAATAGGACACATGTGTACTTGAATGAACAACATTGATAGACAACCACTACAGTAAGGCCCTAAACTGGAAAGTAGCATTTATTTCTAAAATGGTCTTGTAGTAATTTTGTGTATAATATCTCAAGTATTTTAAAAACATTATTTTTCAGGTCTGAAGAAGCTGTTCCATTCTTCCAGATGTTAATACTGTCATGGATATATGTATTTTAGCAGTTCAATTATTATCATTGCAGTTCAAACTACAATTTTCTGTCAATGTAATGTGCTTTTGTTTAGAGTTTAAATTAGTAAATGGTAGCAGCTGAGCTATTATTTAATTCCCCAAACGTGCCAACTTTTCTGTGCACAGAAGGCTAACAGATGTTAATATTTGCTCAACAGCCACCACTACTTTTATCTCCCAAGTGAATATTAAATATTCACAGTTAATCTAGGTTTTTACTGTGCTCTAAAATGTTTGTTGTTAAAAAACTAATATATACACAAGACATTTTCCATATAGACTAATGGAGAATATGTGGCCTAATTCAAAGAAACACAGACTAGACTGGTAAAAATGACATCCAGACAACAGAATTTATCAGAAGGTTTTATAATTCTTTCCTTTGCATGTTATTTTGTCTAGAGGAACTAGACCACAAAGTGATCAATGAAATTCCTATGATCTCTACTATAGTCCTTCAATACAGTATTGCTAAAGGGAAAGAGAAGTGAAGTCAACAGTAATCAGATACAGTAAGGAAAAACAATATAACATAAAAATGTCAGCATGGCCATAGTGGGTCAGACCAATGGTCTATCTAGCTCAGTATCCTGTGTCTTCCGACAGTGGCCAATGCCAGATGCTTCAGAGGGAATGAACAGAACAGGGCAATTAACTAGTGATCCATCCCCAGTCATCCAGTCCCAGTATGTCGCAGTCAGAGGCTTAGGGACACCCAGAGCATCGAATTGCATCCCTGACAATCTTGGCTAACAACCAGTGATGGACCTATCCTCCATGAACTTATCTAATTCTTTTTTGAGTCCAGTTATAGTTTTGGCCTTCACAACATCCCTTGGCAACGAGTTCCACAGGTTGACTGTGCATTGTGTGAAGAAATACTATTATGGTTTTTTTAAACATGCTGCCTATTTGTTTGTTTGGGTGATCCCTGGTTCCTGTGTTATGTGATGGGGTAAATAACAATTCCTTATTCACTTTCTCCACACCAGTCATGATTTTATAGACCTCTATCATATCCCTCTTCAGTGTCTCTTTTCCAAGCTGAACAGTCCCAGTCTTTTTAATTTCCCCTCATATGAAAGTTGTTTCATAACCCAAATAATTTTTGTTACCCTTCATGTATGTTTTCCAATTCTAGTGTATCTTTTTGATTTTCAGCATTACTCAAACAGCTCTGCCTTGTTTCTACCCAAGCTGATTTATATGAATCGGTGGCACCATTTTAAAATTTCTGAATAAGTCATTACATAGATTAACATACATGGTGAGAACAGCGTAAGATTACATAAAACCTTAAAAACAACAGAGCTGCGTGGGCTGCACAAACCAGATTGTACAGGTCTGCAGGTTCACGTGAAGATTTGGGTTCACTGCTTATTGCAACTCAGCTCTCTTCAGTGCAGCCTCTGCTTTCCCTCCCCTTTCTACTCTCAAACCAGGCTATAGTCCTCAGGGGAAGCTGTGTACCCATTCTACTGATCTTTTACCTAAATATTTAAGAAATTGCCAATATAACACTATGGAGATCATTCATGTGAACATATATCAATTAATGCTTTTGTTTCAAAAGAGGGGGTGTTTATATTTTGAGATCACTAGTGAAGAAAAGTATTCCTTGATGGTGAAAGTTAAGTTGGTTTTGTTGTGATGAAATATAAATTACTTTATACTGGATACGAATATTTTTTTGTTATCTGGGCAGCGTTTGATTCTTCACATCTTTAATTAATTATTTCTTTGCTTTTCAGATCTTCAGTTTTGTAAATGATGTGACAGACAAGTACACTGTTATTACTTAGTAACCTTTACCAGCTTTTGAAACATATAGACATGCATGCACGCACGCACGCACACACAGTGGAATTAGTATCGAAATACTAGTCTAAACGTATGAGCTATGTCCTACCCCATTTAATGTCTACTCTTTAAATAAGGTTTTTGATAATGTTTCACCTTACCTCAGATGGTTTTGTGATACATTTTCCTTTTCCCAAACACTGAAAGTCATCTGAGTGGCTTCCCACAGGCATGCAGGTGCTGACTTTTACTACCACAGTTAAGCGTAAAGCCACAATGCATTTAGTAACTGAATCATTCACAAAACCTGAAAAGAAACAGAGATTAAAGGTTTTTAATTTAAAATAAAAAATTCTAATGAATGGTTTTATTATTAGTAAAGTAAAAAAATATTGAATACAAAGAAACTATGGTTCAAATTTCACCCTCATCACTTCTCATGAAACCCCACTGAAAGCTTACGTGGGATTTAAGTTAGGGTGGAATTTGTCCATGTTACTGATCAAGTTGACTGACAAATGGAAGACATTCCAGAGTCAAGATGCATCATTAGAGTGTCATTCAGCACTCCTTCCTCTGGCAAAACTCCCATTTCACCTCAAAGAATGAACAAATAATTTGCTTAACATGGCCTTAAGTACTTAACCTGCCCCTTAAAGTTGATCTTCAATTTGCCTTGTTTCCAATAAAACTATATTTTAGTTTAAGTACCATAAAATATATAACAGACAACTACAATAGCTTAGGAGAGTAGATGAAATAAAAGCCTAGTTTTCCTTGATTTTGTCTCAGTTTTTAATGGTAACATGAAAGCAAAGCCAACAAAGTAAACAAATTAGGTTAAAAATTAACCTAAATAATCAATCTGTAGCATGGAAAATTTAGTTTGAACAGAGTTAATAAGCACATCATTGAAACAACACAACATAAATTACAATGAATCACTAACAACTCAAATGTTTCCTAGTAGCATTTTAGATCAAAGTTGAGCAGCTTTACCCTCTACTTGAAGGCATTACTCTGTTTCAATGTAACATGAGAACTTTTGAACACCACATCCAATCAATTCCAAAACGTTGGGGACTGTTCTAGGCATTACTGGACTGAACCCTATTGATTTTGCTCAAAATCAAAAAAACTGGAAGGGAGAAATGGGAGACCCAAGTTGTCCCCACCATCTGGTCAGCAGGACGAGCAACTCAAGTATTCTGTAATTTTCTACAGATCAAATAGTTGATGGCAGTCATTAACACCTTTCATAATAACAATGCCTCCATATCAGCTCTATCCACCCTCCCAATACAGTTCAAAATACTGACACCCTGAAAGAGAAAGAAAAAATGGAAGACGACAATTGGGGAAGTGAAGTTATGAGAGGAATGGAGGCACACAGAATCCCTGGCAGAGGGCAGAATGGGTTTGTATAGAGCCCTTGGTATGGGGGGATGGAATGAATGGGGAGTTTCATGGTTAGAGTGCAAGCTGTGCTTTTTAAGTGCACCCCTCAGGTGACAGGCTCTAGCTTCCTACACCTCACTCTGGGTAGAACAACACAGTCCTACCCTCAGACTGGATCTCTGGCTTGCAGCCCTCCTATTTACCAATCATGTTAATCTGAAAGGTCAAACTGGTTTTGGCACCTGTACACTCATTTCCTCCAGGAGACTATGACAGAATAAGTTTGCAGTGATGGAGAAACAGCTTTTTCAGAACAAAGTAGTATTTATTTGCCAAAGGGTGCACCACATGCATAGCAAATGGGTTAAAACAACAGAGTCCTACAGGGATCTTAACTTCTCTATAAATATCTCAGGTAGGTCCAGCATATTGCAGACTACCCTTCTGAGTCTGAGAGTTAGTTTTCATCCCCACAGACCCTCTTTCCATGTCTCAATCAGCCTGGGTGTCAGCCTCAGTCTGCTGACAACCTTTCCTCCCCTTTCCGCAGGAGTAAATCTTTAACTGACCAGTGTCTTCTGATCTCTGGTCTCAGCCTGGAGAAAACAGCTGTATCATCTTGCTGGCACCAGACAGGCAGCCTCTTTACAGCAAGTAACCTGCCTATTGTGTTTGAGTGTTTGCTGGGATGCTCCTTATCTAGGTCATAATTTTGTCTTTCCTGCTTGATTTCTCCAACACCTCCTTTTGATCTCACCCCATAGTAAGTAACCTATCACAAACAAACAGAGAGGAATGCACAATAGTCATAAATACAATACAGCTATCTCCTATTTTGTTACAGGGTGGAGGGGGAAAATGAGGCACACAAAGGCCCCGGCATGAGGGGTCCCTGAAATAGACGACGCAGGGAGGATGACACACAGGCAGCTTGTGGAATGGAGGTATAAAGAAGCCCCAGGTCTGTGAAATGATCTCAACCTATAGAAGCAACAAACTGTGCAATCTTCTGGTTCTAATTTTTCAGCCAAAACATACTGTTCCATATACATTTCTCTCCTTTTAACACAATTCTCCTTCTGCTGCATATTAAAAACCCAGTTGTGTATCTATAAGGCATTGTTACAAAATAAATTGATTTGACAATACCACAGCCATTTTGTGCACTCAGCCACCATTAACTGGAAGCGAGAACACCACATTGTTAGAAATAACTTGAGCTTTGTATAAGCACAGGAAATAGCTGCAGCTGCAGTTTTGCTGATAAGGATGGAAAATAAAATTGGAAGAATCATGAGAATGGGCGAAAGTGTGGATAGCTGACCTTGGATTTGTGTGTTCCTGATTATGAGTTTTTGCTGATGTTATGACTAGGAGTTGCTTGCTGATGTTAGGAAAACTATTAGTTTGCAAGGGGTTACTATGAGTTATTAGCTTTGTTTTGAGCAACCTATAAAAAGATCAGTCAGTGTGTGTAATTTGGAGAAGTTTGAAATTACTATTTCTATGAGCTAGGAGGCTGACATCCAACTCCCTAGTGGCTAGGAGGAAGGCTGGCCCCCACAAACCTACTGCTGACCACTCAACACCATCTCAGACTTTGGGTAACTATATCTGGGTTGCTCTGGACTATTGCTATTTTAGATGTGTGCTTTAGATGCCCTGGGTCCAAACATTTGGATACATGAGGGAGCATCCACACAACCACACTGGACGCTGCTACGTAAAGAGCTCTGAGCTTGTATGTCAAGTGCATGTGCAGGAGAGGGTGAAAGATTTTTGGGTGAAAGCACTCTCATTTGTACTGATCATTTATCAGACGGAGGAGCTGTAGACCCCATCAACTTATTTCCTAACACTGCCTGGAGATAGGAACATATAAATTAGCATAGTTTCAGGTTGAGAAAACTCTGGGCAATGGCATATATTGGTAATATTTAAAACAAGCTATAACACAGGAATGGAAATGGCAGCATGACTTTGTTTTTAGGTGGAAAGGCTTTGCTGATCAAGGGATATTTGAAAACCTCTTTCAGCATTCACTCCATCATCAATCTACAAACCTGGTAAAAACACTTTGAAAAGTTTCCAAAGTGTTTGGCAGAAGATCTGAAGTGCACTTTCACAGGTAAATACATTTATAAGACCCTTTTGGAACAAGTTTATTTTCCTCCATTTCTTCAGGTGAACCCTCCCAACTTGCAGGAGACACAACTGGGGGACCCTCAATGGAGAAAAGACATGGGATGCCCCCTTAATATGTCACAGGGGCAACGGGTCTGCTGCTGCTGCTGCTTCCATTCAGTAAGGAGGAAGGGACAGGACAATTTGCAGGCTACTGTCTCTCTCTTTGCAGAAGACAACTGCAGGTAAAGGGGAGGGCACCTGAACGGATGGAAGAGAAATATACTAGGAGAGAAAGGGAGCCTCTACAGATTCTAGAAGTTTAGCTGAACTGCCATATTTTGAGGCTTGGAGAATTAAGATATAAATATGAATATCATCTAAAATTTCTCTGGATTTGCATAGGAAACACCCTCCCCTTGCCCCAAGGAAATCCTTTAGTCTCTTCTTTTCAGAATTAACCTAGGATGTTTTTTTTAAAATGCTGGTATTTCTGCATTATTAATACATGAATACTAATACTGTCTATATGGATCCCTCTCCTGAACACGCACTTGACATATGTGACGTTGCACTCCATATGATTTTATGAAAATATGCTAATTATAGAATATCAGGGTTGGCAGGGACCTCAGGAGGTCATCTAGTCCAACCCCCTACTCAAAGCAGGACCAATCCCCAGACAGACTTTTGCCCCAGATCCCTAAATGGCCCCCTCAAGGATTGAACTCACAACCCTGGGTTTAGCAGACCAATGCTCAAACCACTGAGCTATCCCTCCCCACAATGAGTGTGAATATAATGTAACTGGAATATGCTTCATGCAAAAAGTCTCTTGTAAAATATCATTACAAAGCTTATAATCTACTGAGTGTGGTCATCCTATTTGTATAAAGGTATCATTCTTGTATCTGAAACTAGAAATATGAAATATAACTCTGAGGTCCTATAGTAATTATGCAAAGTGTGGGACATTAATGGTGGTCTGGAATCTTGATGGCTCCCATCAACTAGGACAACTGGTTGTAAATGGCTCTGTTTACTTGCAAGCCTTCCTGTGAGTCAGGCCAGGAAGAATGAAGGCTCGGGGTCTCACAGGACATGTGACCATGTCACCTGGTACTGGAATCCAGCTTAAACCTGGTGCTTTTCCATTTATAACAGGGATCTCAAACTCAAATCACCATGAGGGCCACATGAGGACTAGTACATTGGCCTGAGGGCCGCATCACTGACACCTTTTCATATAAAGGTATAAAAGCCCAAAACCCCCCCCCCCCCCCCCCCGCCCAACCCCACTCCACCCCTTCCATGAGGCCCCGCCCCTGCCCTGCCTCTTCCTACCCCTTCCCCACCCGCATTCCAACCCCTTCCCCAAAGTCCCCACCCTAACTCCACTCCCTCCCTGCCACTATTCCAACCCCTTCCCCAAATCCCCACCCCTGCCCCGCCTCCTCCCCTCCCTCCTGGAAAGCGTTAAGCACCGCCAAACAGCTGTAACTCTATGGGCCGCAAGGGAAAGGATTGGGCCCAGACTAGGAAGGAGTCCAGTCTGTGAAAGAAGTTTATTGGAACATCTCTGTGGGTGAGATTTCATCTGTATTCAGTTTCCTACTGTATTAGGCTTAGACTTGTGTGTTTTATTTTATTTTGCTTGGTAACTTACTTTGTTCTGTCTGTTATTACTTGGAACCACTTAAATCCTACTTTTTATATTTAATAAAATCACTTTTGCTTATAAATTAACCCAGAGTAATTAATTAATTCCTGGGGGAGCAAACAGCT